GCCGTTGGATTTCAAGGAAGTGTGCTTCATGCAGCAAGGGGATATGCATTACTGTGGGTACCCAGTACTAAGGATACTCTGCAGAGCTTCATGCCAGAGTTTCTGCCATCAAAGCGCTCTCCTTGTAATTGAAAAGTTTCCTCAACACAAAACTAAAAAATGCGAGATCATATGCCAAGGAGGAGTATTAAAAGTTTGGTACAAGCTGCAGGTGCAATGGAAGATTAGAGCTGGGAAGACTGTGAGCCATGGGGCTTGTGGGAAGGGGAAGGTGGGATTTGGAATGGATGCTGGACAGGCAATCAACAAGCATCTCCTCCACCCCAGTCAGCCTTCTGCCTCCTCTGTCTACCCACCCCTAAGCTCACTGCACCTGGAGAACATACTGAAGTCAGCTGGATCTCTCTCCCTAGTAGATTATAAGTGGACATGGCCTATGGCTTACTGAGCTTTGCAGCACTCCCACACCCTACCCCTGCCCCAGACCCCTGGCAGTGTGCCCAGCTATAAATTCTCAAATAAATACCTAAAGAATACTTTAAAATTTTGTTTAATGTTTTTTATTTATTTCTGAGAGAGAGAGACAGCGTGATCAGGGGAGAGTCATAGAGAGAGGGAGATACAGAATCTGAAGTAGGCTCCAGGCTCTAAGCTAGCTATCAGCACAGAGCCCGACGTGGGGCTCAAACCCACCCACGAACCATAAGATCATGACCTGAGCCAAAGTCGGACGCTTAACCAACTGAGCCACCTAGGCGCCCCCTAAAGAATACTTTTAAAAGATGACCTGAAAGGGCATGGTATGGGAGCTGATGAATTCCTACTAAAACCTTTCAATTCATTAGTGTTGATGAGTTAAACACTCTGTTTTCAAAAATAAATGTTCGCAGAGAGTTTTAGAGCAAAAATACACTGACACAGACAACCTACAAATTACACATTGTATTTTCTGTACCTTGGCAACTTTTCAAAGTGGGAAAGTATGGGAATGAGAAGGGGGAAGGAGGAACGAGTCTGCTAACTGAAATCCCTGCAGTAAAATCAAGACCTCTGCACTGCACACCCCCCTCCCCCAGCCCCATGCCTGCTATGGTCTCTGAGGGAACTAGTTACAGCTCTGGAACAGTTGCTGTGTTCCAAGCCCAAAGCACCTACAGACATCATTAAAATAAAATAGAAGAGGAGAGTGCACCATCCTCTTCATTCTTCCTGGCACAATGTGTGTGAAAGTAGAAAGCCACAGCAGCCAGCCTTTGTTTGAAAACAGTTCTCAAGTTCTGCATTTAAAAATTTTTTAATCATTTTTTATTTTATCTTGAGAGAGAGAGAAAGAGGGAGCAAGTGGGAGAGGGGCAGAGAGAGAGGGAGACACAGAATATAAAGCAGGCTCCTGGCTCTGAGCTGTCAGCACAGAGCCTGACATGGGGCTCAAACCCACAAACCACGAGATCATGACCTGACCTGAAGTCGGATGCTCAACTAACTGAGCCACCCAGGTGCCCCTCAAGTTCTGTATTTTAAATCTCGGTGTGACCTCCCAGTTGTTGCGTTCTCCCTACTTGTGGAAAAAAAAATGTTACAGTATATTTACTACACACACTTATTAGAAACTACCTCATACTTTGTCTTGTCTCTCATTCTCCCCTAAGCTATTTAGTCAGGTATCTGCTCTGGTGTAGACATCAGGGAGTCAGAGAGGGGTGACTCCAGATACGGTCCCGAAGATTCTCAGTGCAGTGTCTGCCCAGAGGGACAGCTCATGCATTTTCACACTCAAGTCCCTGCCAAAGGACCCAGTGCTGAAAATCATTTGCTTCTGGTGGTGGGAGGGCACCCAATGATACATTAACCAAAACCAAGAACAAGGTATGTCCTTTAAATGCTATAACAAAAATCAGCTTGAGAAGGATAATATCAGCAAAGGATCCTATTATATACAGTATGCTAATAATTCTTGTTTATCAAGCTGAGCATTATGTAAGTGCTTTATGTGCATTTGATCATGAATCCTTGTAACTGCCAACTGGGTGAGGTCTTGGCCAAATAGCCAGTAAGGGTGGTTAGATCCCAGATCTTGACCCAGTCTACCTACAACCTGAGGCCATGCTCTTAACAACCATTCTGTATTGAATAAATCAGCTTTACAACTTCCCTGTTAAAAGGAAACCACAAGTTTAGCCAAGAAAACATTTACAAAGTCATAACAGGGTATGTGTCATGCTGGTACAACCCGTGCTATCTCCCTTAGACCACAATTCCTGCTGGTGGAAAAATGTGTTGGCCTTCCTGGGGCAGGAAGGCACTCAAGTCCACGGGGGAGTATGGAAGTCTTCAGCACTAAGAATACTCTTTTGTTTTTCCCACTGAAGAACTATATGGCCTGAAGCTGATTTATCACCCCTAATTTATTTACCTCTTCAGTTTTATTGTCTACAGAAGTGGAATAATTATTTCTGCCTTTAGAGAGAGATTCATTTATTCAGTAACTTACTGTCGGAGACAGCTTCAGGCAGTGCAGATGTAAAGATAAATGAGGCAGACAGAATGGTTAGTATGGTATGGGCACAAGGGTAGACATAAACATTAGTGGAACAGAATAAAGAGTTTACAAGTAGACTCACTGCTTTTGACAAGAAGGCAAGATAATCCACTGAAGACATGATAGTGTCTTTTAGAAAAGGTGCTGAAACCATTAGATATCTATATGGGGCGGGGGGTGGGGGGGAATGAACTTCAGTCCTTACCTCATGCCATACATACACTCAAAAAAATAAAAACTGGAATGGATCAGTGTAAAAACTACCATTGGGAAGGGGCACAACAGAACTTTTGGTGATGATGGAAACATTCTATATTTTGTTTATTGTAGTTATGTGGGCATACAAATTTGTCAATGTTCACTAAAATGTATACTTAAAATGGGCACATTTTATTGTTTGTAAACTATACCACAGTGAAGTTGATTTTTAAAAGTAATATCCTTTCGCTCCTGCTTAAAATTTTTCCAGTGAATGTTAGGTTTACCAAACTCCTTACTCTGTCCTACAAAGTCCTAGGTGATCTGGACCTGTCTATTTCTCAGAACCATCTTATAGTGTTCCATTTGCTTTTGTTGTTCCTTCTGGAATGTTGTTCTCTCAAATCTAGGTACAGCTGATTCCTAAAGAGGCTCCAGCTCTGGGGCCATCTCCTTGGTGAAGTTCCCACCTCCTCAGTGAAGTTCTTCCTGGTTGCCTAACTCAGCACTTGAGTACATCATAGTGTGTTTTCCAAAGCATGCATCATCAGCTGAAATTCTTATTTACATGATATTTGTTTATTGTCTCATTGTCCCCTTGAGAATATAATATCCACATAACAGGAAAGATCTGTCTTGTGTACATACTCTTCTATCTTTAGGACCCAAATAATGCCTCCCTAATAGTTGATGTTCAGTAATTATTAATAATATAATAAAGTAACAAAAAGAGTGAGGATTCTATCATGGAGATGGCAGAAACACGGAATGTTGCTAAGTAAAGAAATGACCCCATAGATTTTGTGTTGCAGGATGGCTATAGGGATTAGATTGGAACTGGGGAAGACTGAAGGCGGACAGATTATATAGAAGGCCACCACAGCCGCTTCTGGTAAGAAAAAGATAGGGAGGCTGAACCAAGGCTCACTCAGAGGAGACCAGGGATGGAACAATACAAGCAATATTTAAGAGGTGGAATCAGCAACCTGTAGCTATATTCTGAGGGAACAAGGGCAGTGGTCGAATTGAGGATTATATCATGCATACCTGAGTTAATGGTGGTGCCTTGAACTGAAACAAGGGATGCTGGAAACAGCATAGTTAGCAGATGAGTTTGGTTTGGGAATGTTAATTTTGAGTTACCTGCAAAACATCCCAGTAATGCTGTTCAGTGGACAGTGGGTAATACCAGTCAGAAGTTCAGGAAAGAGGACTGAGGGCATGGATTTGAGAGTCTTTAGGTTGTAGGTGGTAATAAAGGCATTGGAATGGAACTTTAGTAATTGCTGAGGGTAAAACGAGAAGAGGGCTGATGAAATTCTAGGGATTAACTAACTTTTGAGGACTGGGAAGAAGAAGAACCAGTAAAGAATAGTGAGAGTCGTTGGAAGGAGCAGAATGTGGAACCCATGGGAGGAGCTTCTGAAAAAGAACAATTAATAATGGCAATTGCCACAGAGATCTGGCAAGAGAAGGACTAAAATCTGGGCAACTAGGAGTGACTGGTGACTTGAGCAAGAGCTGTTTCAATAAAGAATAGGCAAAATACAGAATATAGTCATTTGAGGAGTAAAGGGCAGGCATGGGGAAGGAGCTTAGGGTAAGATGCAGAGGATTCTTTTCAAAAGATGGGAAAGTAGGAATTCATGCCTGCACACCCTAGTAGGAGAAAGCTGTCTTTTGAAAAAGGCAAGGATACCCCTGGGCTAAAGCACTCGATTCAAAAGTTGGAAGTGTCTCTAGGCATCGTGGGCAAAGGATACTGAACTAACTGGGCACTGATACACAGATTGCCAGATGTCACCAAGGGCTTGGCTGCAGTTGAAGATGGTTCCTTTAGTTTGGCAATAATGGCATGGTTATATGATTCTCTCCGGTAGTCCCCAGCCTCCTGGGTGTAGGAGCCAGGATGCCAAGTGATTGGGTTGATCACAGTTGTTTACTGGCAGGTTATTGTGGCAGAGGACAAGGGGTCGAGGGTATTAGGGACTGTGGTCTACGTGATTGGATCTAGACTGAGACAGAAGTAGAGCAGGCAGGTCGGGTGGGGACGGGGGTGGAGATAGAGACTGAGGGAAAATAGAAGGGCTAGAAAGTCCAGTGAGGATAGTAAGAGATCTGCAAGAAGCGTAGGGTTGTGGTTAAAGATGGTTGTGTAGAACTTCAGAATTTAGAATTTGGAGAGGTGAAAGATCCAGAGTATGCTTATATGATTAGTGGATGCAGTGGAGGGTAGAGATATAGGTGAAGGTTAGATCTTTGAACATAAGAAGTGCAGCTACCATAATGTCACCCCATTCATACTGATGTTCCCCTGCCTCTGAGAGAGAGAAGAAAATTGAAACCAGGGAATCCAGAGAATAATCAGGAGTCGGTAGGTAACAGTTACATGGAACAGAGAGAGCTAGATGGTATGAAGCTCAAAGGGGCATGGGGATTACATGAAAGGAGGGAAGGCATATCCTGAAAGCTGTAATGGGGAGTTAGGAGAATGCCAGACTGATTCTGGTGGGTGCTTCCAAATTCTGGCAACACTCAAGCTGTGACCACTGAAATAAACTGGAAGTCATGTCCACTGGAGGAGAAGTTAAGGAAGACCCCAAGGGAACAGTCAGGTCATCTGCAGTAGTGATAGGTGATGGGGTAGAAAAAGACCTTATAATGCTGAATGAAAGAAGCCTGAGTTGGTTTTGGAAGTAATGCAATATATATGTAACATACTATCTAGTATGTTATATAGCAATGTATATATAGTATGTTATATAGCCATATGTGTATATATATATATATATATATATATATTCCCACTAAAAGCTATATGTTTCATAGCAAAAATAACAAAAGTATATTGTTATGATTTCTGTGAAAAGTGTAATTTAATATTTGGAACATCTTCTGAATTTGTGTGTTTAAAAATTATGTAGGTTTGTATTTTAGCTGGATTTCTAGCATTTTATAAATAATATTTTTAAAGTATGAATGCTAATAGTTATGTGTGTGTGTTTTTTTTTTTTTTAACAGGTTCTTAATCAAGAACCAACTCTATGGATCCAGGACAGGTTTATCCCATGGCCTGCTCTGAACAGCGTGTTGTCCAATAGAAGATTCCATTGGCAAACCATCTCTGTTGCCTTATAGAGCAAGCAAAGAAGATGGATCAAGTGAAGAACCATCTGCCTGTGTGCTTTCTACCTACTGTGCCCTTTTTAATCCTAGTATCCACTCTAGCCACTGCTAAGAGTGTGACTAATAGCACTTTAAACGGCACTGACATGGTCTTGGGCTCTGTGCCTGTAATCATTGCCAGAACTGACCATATCATAGTCAAGGAAGGGAACAGTGCCTTGATTAATTGTAGTGTTTATGGTATCCCTGAGCCACAATTCAAGTGGTATAATTCCATTGGCAAGCTGCTGACAGAAGACAAGGAGAAGGAGAAAGGAGGAGGTAGGCTTTCAAGTTGTATCAAATATCATAAGATATAACACGGACTTTGGAACTCGTACTCTGAATGTTAGTTGTTCCTATCCAAGTCATTTAAAGATCTCATTTTGTCTTCTTTTTCTAAGGCGCACGAGAGAAATACATATCCTTAAGGATTCGAAGCACTAATTACTTCATAGTTTTCACTCTTTGACTTGGAAGACAGGGCAAACCTAAGTTTTAAGAGGCCTCTTGGAATTTTGTAACATAACGCATACAAAATGTTATAGGGATGAATGTAAAATGGATTTTCCATAAGTATATGCTCCATTTATAAGGGAGTTTTATTTTGTTTCATGGATCTGGGTCCAGTAAATAATATAGCAGGTGTTTATGGTTAAATGTCAGTTTAATTCATTGACTGGGGATTTAAAGACCACCCTTCTTAAAAGAAGTCTCTATGCAAGGTTTTCAGCCACCAACTAGAGATCGTTCTGTGCTCCTGAAGACCTGGCTGAAGTTTCTAGATTGTTGCAGCTGAGGCCAAGAGGGAGGGAAGATTCAGTAGCAAGAAATAACATGTGGCAATACGGGAATGCTTAGTTTTTAATGAGTACATTTCTGGCCAAAAACTGTGAATCACCTACCTAAGCACCGAGCCTGCTTCAGCAAAGACTTCAGTCAGAGAGAGGATTGTTTGGGTCATTGTGAATCAGTACATTTCTTGTTTTAGGTGTGAGAAGTATTTGTCCGAAAACCCATGCCTGATCTAACTGACCTGAAGGAGTTAATGTACTTTCTGAAGCATTTACTGTGTGAACTGGGGGAAGAGCTGGGAGTAAAAACATCATTGTTCTGAGGTAGCAGCTTATTAGTTTCTGTCACCTTTCATTCATATTGTACTTCCCATCCCACAGCCCTTTAAGCAATGAATAATCCCCAGAGAGTTTCTGCTCCAAGAAAACCTACGTTTTTAATCTCTTTTCTTCATTTTATCTTACTCTGAAAAAGAATAGAGGCTAATATCTTATGTCTCCTTAGGAGCTGAGTAAATGGAGTTTTCTTGCAATTACATACTTGTGGCTCATAGCTGTGTCCCTCATGGTTAAGGCCACTAGCAGTCCAACTACCTGGGATGTGAGGTTTCATCGTAGCGCTCTCACATTCTTTGGGTTAGCCATTCAAGGATATACAACATGACAAAGCTTCCTCCTTCCAGTGAAAATACCATATGTTACATGTATGTCTGTGTGTTTAATTTGGTAGAGTGGACCTCTGTCCCCACCAAGTAAAATTTTGAGACCATAGAAATTTAAAATTCTATGGGACTTAGAGACAGTGTAATCCAAATCTCTTCTTTTACCCACATTTTTCCGAGGTCCCACTGTTAGTAAATGGCTGTGACTAGAACATTCACTAGTGACAGTGAGAAGATGAGATACCATCACTCTGAGCCCACAGTTGGTTTCCATTCCTACCATTTCTTCCTTGCAGATTCCAAGTCAAAAGGAAATGATCCCACACTTGTGAAGGGGCAGTAACCATGGTAACATATACACACTCAAGTCTCCATACTCCATCAGATTTTTCTGCAGGCTGGGCCACTGCAAGGAGTAACAAGGGAACTGAACTGAGGGGAACGAGGACTCCAGACCTGAATCTACCTTTCACACAGACACTGAAGCACAGGTTAATACTGGTGCCAAGGAGCTAGGGCACTGAACCCCTGAGTCCTAGAGAGGAAGACAGCTGTGAGAACCATATAGTGCCGGGGTCTGAATTTCAGTCACAACATTTTGACTGCAATCCTAAAGTAGTACTTTCTGCTTCAGAGAGATCACATGTTGCCTCAGTTAAAAAGGTTGTTCTAACTATTAACTCAGGCTTGGCAAGCACACTCTGTACCTTGCCTTCTTGATCTCTGTCTTAGGAGGCTGGACTAAGATGGAAGCCACATGGCTCAATTTCCTTTTGTTCTGTGCCACTCAGGTGGTCTGTAGTAGCAGCATGCACAAGCCTGGGACCCGGGAACAGGGGTAGCCAGTGAAAGCCTTTGTGGTGCAGAGCACTGCTCCATCAGAACCCAGCATTTGTACTAGGTTTGCAGCCAGCAGTCTTGCTGATAAATAAGTTAGCTGTTTTTAAATCTCATAAGGAAGATGCACTGCAGATTTTTAGAAAGAACTCCTGATACTAGTACTTGATGTTCCAGCCCAGCCTTTGTATTGTAATGCATAATAATAGTGAGTCCAGAACATAAGGAGCACAGGGCACTACACAAAACAGTATACCTCACAACCAAGCAAGAAATAAGAAATAGCAGAAATGACACTCCTCATCCTGAAATATTAGAACTTCAGTGCTCAAATGGCCTATCAAAGGACCCATAAGTCTCTAACTCTTTCTTTCTGGTGGGGAAAAGGCCCATATTATAACCCTGGACACAAATTTCATTTGTCAGGCTGATAGTCTAGAAGTCTAAATGGTGCAGTGTTTCATTTATATCTCAACAAAGACGTGATTGAATGAATATAGTATGAAAAATGATGCTAATATACGAGAACATTACCTAGATACAATAGACTACTGTTAAAACCAAATTAACAAAATTAATGTAATTTTCATTAACAATCCCTACCATTGATTAAGCCCTCATATACCAAGTTACAGATGCCATTTCTAATCCTTATAGTAAGCATAACAGGTAGATATTATTAATCCTCATGTATACAGATGACAGACCAGGTGAATAGAGAGGATATTACACAGCCAGATTGTGGCCAAGCTAGTATTTATTCTCCCCCTGTGCCCGGCCAGTGTCTACTCACCCTTTAGGTCTTAGGTGAACAATGTTGAAGAGCATGTAACTTAGACTGAGCAAATGAGAGAAGCCTTCCTGGATGGAAAATGCATGGTGATCACCACATCACAATTTCAGTGTCAGGACGTGTGCTGTCACATGTATACGTAGCACATACCCTCCCCCCGCAAATTACCAAAATCATCTGGTGACTTGCTCTAGGAGCACACCACCATTTATTGTGTGATTAGCAAGGACCTACTTCTTATCTTGTTTATGCTGAAAAAGTGAGAGAGCTATTATTCATGCCAACCCTGCCAGTCGTAGAGAGTGTGGGGCTACTTCCCATCACTGCTTTGCTTCCCTTCCCTGCTGCTCGTTACTTCAAGTCCACAGGATTGGGAAAGGCTAAGTGTAATCTGTTTCTGGAGGAGGACTTTTCTTTTCTGGCAGTTCACCAAAGGACATGTTTTGGGGGTGGTCCACCACTTGTATGACAGAAAGAGCTCAGAATTCCAATAACATGCATAACCACGAATGACCACAAAGTGCTTTTGCTTGAAGGGAGTAGAAATAAACAGTTATCACAAAGTATGATGAAAAAAGTGCCAGTCACTTCAGGTACTAATTATCCAGTATATTTTTGCTGCAGCTCTTTACTCTGACTTTAAACCATTTAAATGCACGTTAGCGCCTTCATCAGATGATAAATAACGAGCATTTCAGGAAAGTCAGCCGACGGAGTTCTTACTAAACATCTCTGCCTTGTTAGCTATTAAGTTTGAAATTCTTCCTTCAGCTTAGGTTTGAGACTTCTGTGGATTGGTTCTCCACACCCTTATAGCCTTCTTTCACCAGAAATAACTGAGGACTGTCTTTGAAAGTAAACATGCACAGAGTAAATGGAGCCGAAGTGCACACAGTTCCTAGTTGTCACCTCTGCTGCTTTAGCTTTGTGGAATTCATTATTACAAGTGTTCATTTGTTTGTTTTGAGAGGAAGAGCACACACACGTGCACACCAGTGAGGGGTGGGCAGAGAGAGAGGGAGAATCTCAAGCAGGCTACACCCTCAGCTCAAAGCCCCATGATGGGAGTTGGAGGGGTGGGCTCGATCTCATGACAGTGAGATCATGACCTGAGCCAAAATCAAGAGCTGGCGGCTCAGCCCACTGAGCCACCCAGGAGCCCCATAAGTTTTGCATTTACTTCACTTATTTATTACATTTCTCTGCATTTGTCTATACTTTTCAGATTTTTGGAATAGAGCATGAAATGCCTACTCACTACTTCTGCAAAGGACAACAGTCTGTACTAGCCCAGTTTTCATTCTAGTTAGTATATGACCTCATTACTTAATTCACGTCTAAGAAGGGTCAGTTCCCACAGTAAAAGTCAATCATCCTCTACCTCTGAGATTGGTATGAAGTAGTGCATTAACTGAAAATAAGATGCTGAATTTTTCTTTTAGTAGATTAAGTATCTGAGATGAAAAATCAACTTTGACCAAAGGCATGAAATAAAATTAAGGTAATTAGGGATACATTACTGGAAATTCCACAGTAGTCTTTCTTTGAACAAGTGCTTTCACTTCTCTGAGCCACAGTTCTTGTAAGATAGAGATAATCCTTTTTTTTTTTTCTTTAAGTATTTTTATTTATTTCTAGGAGAGAGAGAGACAGCGTGAGCAGGGGAGGGTCAGAGAGAGAGGGAGATACAGACTCTGAAACAGGCTCCAGGCTCTGAGCTGGCAGTCAGCACAGAGCCCGACGCGGGCTCGAACCCACGAACCGCGAGATCATGACCTAAGTGAAAGTCGGACGCTCAACCGACTAAGCCACCCAGACGCCCCGAGATAATCCTTTTTTACTAGCAGGTGGGGCTGAGCACCTTGAATAAACTATTGTGAATTAACATTTTGCACAGTGACCTGAAACATGTCCAGATGTCAGTAAATGACAACTGCTGCTATTGTTATTGGTGATATTGCCCTATATTGTCACAGCCATAGATTCCAAGTGCCTAAATCTTTATTTCATAATATAGTGTGTTTTAAAAAGACAGGAAATACTTTGCTGGGTGATTTCTTATTCTCTATCTCAATCTTAAAAACATTGAATTAATATAAAAAATTTGATAGCCCTTCAAAGTTATTTGAGATTTTGGGGTTAAGCATCTGACTCTTTTTTTTTTTTTTTTTACAAATAGTTTATTATCAAATTAGT